TCCCACTTTCTTTTGAGATTCTATTCCCCAGAGATGTTCATATGGGTTGTCATCTATCTTCCTCCATCTCTGCTTGCTTATCTGCTCTATTATATCTCAACATGATGATGTGACCTCTAAGCCCTTCTTATAACTTCAAAATAAGTTATAGATTTTTGTTAAAGATTAAGACATCTTCTACACTGACAAGTGTCTCATTAAGAAAACCTATTCCCAAATGGGATTATAACCACAGGTATACTAAAACCCAAACCCGTTGTTATCAACTCAATTCTGACTTCTGATGACTTTGTAGGACAAAATAGATCTGCCCCATAGGGTTTGCAAGGTTGTAATCTGACAGCCGATGGTCACATCTTTCTTCCTCTGAGTAGCTGTAGGTTTTAACAGGCTGAGTACCAAGCCAATGCACCACAAGGGTTCCTTAGTCACAGATACAGGCACTAGGATTTACAACACATATACTCATTTTGGAGTGACACATTCAATTCACAACACATAGACCATTAAATTTAGCCACTTAGGACACATGTAAGTTTGGGGACTCAGAATCTATTACTAAACCTTTCTGCTGTGGTAAATTTTGCACTTCTCGCATAACTCTAACAGAGTTAAAACCAGGCCTCCTTCCTGCTTTCACAAAGATGAAACTTGCTTGACAAAGAAAGCTTCCTTTTTTCATGCAGTCTTCTCCAATTTACAACTTACCTACACCATGGCCCTATATTTTTACACTGTCCAGGATCAAGAAAGAGATAAAAAACCTAAGTCCAGAGTATTCCCTCATGATAATCTTAACTCCATAAAGTTATTTATAACATTTTTTTTCCTATGGCAGTGTACTTTGTTGTTTTTTATTGAAGTATTATGTACAAACAGAAAGAACAAAAGTTATAAATGTTTATTAAATGTAGAAATTTTCATAAATTAAAAGATAATGTAGCCAACATTGAGATTTAAAAAAATCATTAACAGCATGTACCAATGACTACACTTTATCTTTCTAATTAGGTCTTTCCTCTTTCTAATTAATCTCTGGGCTTTACCATCAGAGTCATTTTACATAGAACACTTAACAATTAAGCAGTAAATATATTAATTCATTCAACAATTACCTGTTGAGAACCCACTTGCATTGGGTGTTGTTCCGGCCACTAGAAATAAATTGGTGGATAAAATATAAATAAAACCCTAGCCTCAATCAAGCTTACAATCTCCTAGTGGTAGTGGTGATGGTATTAGTTGTCACCAAGTTGGTCCTCAGCTATGAAGAGTGGGGCCGTTGTGACCCACAGGGTTTACATTAGCTGATTCATCAAATGTAGATCACCAGGCCTTTCTTCCTAGTCTGTCTTAGTCCGGAAAATGGGCTAAAATCTCTTCAGCATCACATTAACACACGTCTGCAAGCATAGATGGGTAGTGGCCGTGCTTGAGGTGCACTGGTCAGGAATCAAACCAGGGTCTCTCACATGAAGGTGAGAACTCTACCACTAAACCACTGGTGCCCTCAACTTCCATTCTAGTTTGGGAAAATAACAAAATAAAAATAATGTAGGTCAAATATAGAGTACGTTCGATGGTGGCTGGTGCTAACAAAATAGGGAAGGTGCTGGGAAATGTCAGAGGTGAGAGAAGTTTTTTAAAGAATGACCAGGACATATCATATTGGGGTGTCATCTTGGTCAAGAACGAAAGAATGATTAAGGACGCCAAGCAAACAGCTACCACATAAGAACCTTTTAGGTGCAAATATCAGCAAATATAAGGCTCTAAGGCAGAAAAATATCTAGTAAATTTAAGGATCAATGTGGTTAGAGCAAAAGAGAAAGGAGTGGCAGAAGAAAGATAAGCAATGGAGTGTGGGGGAGCAAGTCAAATCATATAAGACTTCTTGGATTGTGAGAAAATCAACTTTGACTCTGAGTGAAAAGGGAAGCATCAGAATGCGAGATAGATAGATCGGAACTACATCAATAGCATCACTCTGTTGTACTAAGAAAAACTGCTGCAATAATCTCCAGGCAGGAGCTGAAAATGACTTGTTCCACGGTAGTGGCAGTGAAAAAAGTAACAATGGTCAGCTTTCACAAATCCAACAAGATTTGTCAAGAAGCACTTGTGAAATGAGAGAAGACTAATCAGGAAAGAATACTTAGGTTTTGACTGGTTCAATTACAAGGATGAAGTTGTCATTAAATAAGACGGGGAAGATTGTAGGAAGTACTATCTTTTGAGGAATTATCTGGATCTCAGTTTGGGACATGTTAAGTTTGAGATCTTCATTAGATACCTAATATGACCATTAAACAGGTAACCTGGTGATTAAAAGGAAAAGTCTGAGCAGAGATTCAAATTTGGGAGTCATCAAAAATATTTATATAAAATCATGGAGTGAATAAACATATCAAGAAAATAAGAAAAAAAATCAAGAATTGAGCCCTAGGATATTATCAATATTAGAAGTAGGATAAATGAGGAGAACTTGGCAAAGGATACAAAGTGAAGCATCTAAACAGTTGAATGAAAGTCAGTTAAGTAATATATCCTAAAAGCCAAATGAACAAAGCATTTCGTGGAGAAAGGTGTGATCATTTATATTAATCAAATAAGATATTGAAATTTTGCCCTTGGATTTACTAATAAATGACCAAACCCACTGCCACCAAGTAGATTCTGACTTAGTGTCCCTGTATAGGACTTCGAGACTGACAACCTTTACAGAAATAGACAACCTTAATTTTTTTTTTCCTGAGGAGTAGCTGATTGATTTTAATCACTGACCTTGGGGTTAGCAGCCCAACACCTAACCCACAACATCTCCAAGGCTCCTTGGACTTACCAATAGTAGGGCTGAATGCCTGAATGGAGTGGATTCAAGAGAGAATGGGAGAAAAAAAACTTGAGACAGTGTTTAAGACAACTTTTTTAAAGCAGTTTGCTCTAAATAGAGAAAAACATATTAGGCAGTGAGTGGCGAGGAAAATAGGAACTAGACATATTGTAGGCTGGTAAGAAAAATAGATAGGATGGAGGGGAAAACATAGTACTGAGAATGAGAGGATTGTTAGGGCAACATAAGAACATGGGTTGAGCTTTGCTGGGAGAGTAGTCAGTTCACCTCCAGTAGAATACATGGGCCCAGATGTAGACTCCTCTAGACAGACAGTAGAGGCCTGTGGAAGTTCTCTAGTGTCTGTTTTAATTTTCCCGGTGAATTAGACAGCAAAATGATGGTCCTGCCCTAGGTTTGAGGAGAGGTATCATTGCCAGTAGTAACTGTCTTAGGGAGACTGGACCAGGAAAATATGATTACTGTGATTACTGGACTTGCTGATGTTAGGGAATAAGACTGTTTTCTCGAGATCTAATTAGGCAAAGAGCTGAGTAAACACAGTCTAAGATAATAATGGCTGACCATAGAATTTATGTAAGATAAAGGAGGGTCAGGAACTGAAAAAGACTCATTGTCCCCAAAAGCCTTGAACAATGATTAGAATAATAAAAGACTGATTACTTAAAGATATGAAATGGTAAACAGAGAGCAGAGTATGTGCACCTGAGAAGGTTAGGATAACAATGCCCACAAAGAAGTAGAAATGAGGCATAGGAAAAATTCTTTTGAGAAGAGAAGTTTCAGGTTTGAAGACACCACGGTAATGAAAGACTTATCTACATGGACACTGAAACCAGGAAGACTTATAGCACGTATTTGAGTGAATGTTGGTAAAGTAGGACCTAAAATCTGTCAGGAGACAATACTTCATGGTTCTGGCACTCCTATACATACTGTGAACAAAGGCACCAAGTACTATAATTTTTAAGGATATTTGTATATTAAACACTTTTGGAAAATAGCATTTTTCCCTCCAGGGCAAAGAAAAGGTTTGTCTATACCTTTGAAAGAGAATGTCTCTTTATGGGACAAAAGATAGAACATACTTAGTGCCTATGATAAAAGATTTTAGATCCCTATGTTTGAAGTTCCTTTCCTGTAATCAACCCACTGTATATGAAAGGTGTTGTCTGTTAAAAATTGCGACTTGGGAACCATAACAAGCAAATGCTGTCACTCTGGCTACTGCTTCTGCCATTAGTCATGAAGTCCTTTGTCTCTGGTCAAGGAGGAAGCGCGTGTGTTCTGCCAGTCGAGGTTGGTTAGGCTGCAATTAAGGTAAAATCTCAGAAACTTGACAAATTCTTGACAAAATGTTCAGTGAAAGGGAAGGGATGAGAGATGACTCAAACAGGACAGGGAGAAGGTGGTATAGTTTATAACAAAAAGCAAACAAAAATGGACTCACTGCCATGAACTGATGCCAACCCACAGCGACCCTAGAGAGAATCGAACTGGCCCTATGAGATTCCGAGACTGTAGCTCTTTACAGGAACTGACTTGTGATTAACAGCCCAGTGATTAACCAGTACATCACCAGGGCTCCTGTAATGGTTCTTAACTTGAGAGTCAAAATCATAGGAGTTTTAGAAGAGAACTGGTCTGGAA